GCTCAACGGTAATGGCAGATACCTCCAACTATAAGGTTGGCAGTTCGATCCTCCATCCCAACATGTTGTACTAAAAAAATAATTATTCTCCACCACACTCGCAAAGAAAAAGAAATACAGCATTTGAATATTCTATTCAATGCACCAAGTGATATGTGCTGTGCTCTATGAGAAAGCCAGAAGTATAAGATAGGCCACTTAAAATATTCTATGCCACTTTTCCACTGCTTTTTTAGTGGATTGTTTTTGGCTTTTTACTGTTCTATGTGGTGCTCCTAAATACCACCCACTCACAGACCCATCATTTCAAATTTGAACACCAAAATTCTTCTGATGAACTTCTGGCAAGAAAATTTGAACAATATTTGGAAGTTCAAAACCCAAAACTCATATTTAGCATGTAGGTTGCCTATCCTAAATTACATTCTTTTGAAGCAATACAACTGTTTTCTATCTCACATACAAATACATACAGTTTATTACAAGTAGCATCACAAGACTGATACCATATATTGAGGGCACACAAATGAAAATTTGAAACTATAGCAATCATTAAATTGTTATTCTATTGCCTATCCATGCTTTTGTCAATATACTTGGTCGAAATCGCAAAGCCATTCACTCCTTCGGCCGAGCAAGCCACAGGGAACTAAGGGCTCGTAGTCTGGAGAAGTAATCATGAATTGCAAGAAGTGCACGAGCTGACTGGCGAGTTGTTAATATCCGATGCATTTGTTGTAGTGTTTGTTGCCGTAGATTGTCAGCCTATTATTGTTTCAAACCCGGCATCCCGAACAAGGACGAAGAGAGAAGAAAGCAAAAATGAAAATCTTTGTGGAATAAGTTTTGGATCACAAGTGAAGCAGGAAAAGCTTTCTAGTTAGAGTGATAAAAAAGATGCTAAAGTAGACTATTGAAGTTTCTATTGCTGCACTTTAACATTCATAGATTGAAAAGAAATGTAAGGAACTTTAGGATCAAACTCAAATCTTGATGGTCAACATACAGATATGTAAAGAGATATCGTGCGAGTCAAAGCTCGAATTTGAGATCCAAATCTAGATTTGAAGATTAAATGCAAGAAAAGATACTTTTTCTTCTGTTTATGGGTGGGAAGAAGGGGGACGAGTTTTGAAAAGAACTTAATTATTGGTAAGTATGAGATATGTTGAGCATACCTGGCGAATAAATCCCTCGAGGGTCCCGAGTTTACCCATTGCTGTGGCCATCTGACCCATGTAGTTTGCCACATTGCCAGACGCATTTGAGGAGCCAAGAGATCCACTGGACAATGTCTCAGCCAGTGATTGTTGCAATGCCTCCATGCCCTGCGACAATGCATCTTCGGTCTGTTGTGACGACTGCTGCAAGTTGGATATGCCCATCAACTGCTGCTCTGTGAGGGGCTCTAACTGACTGACAAGAAGCTGCAACGGAATCGATAGGTTGTAGTAAGAGTTAAAAGTTAAAACTCAGGGTTCTATATCATACTAGTACCAGCATCAAAACATCAGTTAAAACAATTATAAGAAGCTAGAATTGATAAATAAAAAACATTAACTAGCAAAAGTTTACATAATATCCTTCTTATTGGTAGTTCAATGTAGTTCCTTTTGTTCTTTATTTGAGTATTTCTTGTCCTATGCTCCGTTCACTATTCCTGTTTTAATCTACTTTTTTGGGTGATTTAGTGGAGAGGCTACAACCTTGCTGATCTAACCAATCCCAACTATAGCGATTTTTGGAGAACTGCCCCACCCCGAAGAAAGTATGAACCATAAAAATGAGCACACCTTTAAGAGCTCCGATGACCGGAAACCACCAAGCCACAAAAAACATCTTTCAGCAGGTGTTTTCCACATGCCAGACAATAAATGGAAAACATCAGCCTTTGCAGCGACACCTTTGAGCCGAAAAACCTCATCATAATGAGCCAAGACGCCATCAACAATCATTCGAAGTTCAGTATCACTTGCATGTGAGTTTACTGCTGCTCTCAATTCATTGATCTGCTTGTTTTGTTCTTCCAACCAACGGGCATATTCCACATCAAATGTCATGGCCCCTGCAAATGTGAAGTAGCTGATGCTATGCAACTTTAAACTGAAAAGATAGCCAAAAGAAAATGCACTTACAGCCAAAAAGTTGTTATGGTTACACAATCAGGGTATATGTGGAGCAAATATTAATTATGGCTGATACTACTATTCATGAATTAACCAAGTCTAATGCAGAAGATAAATGAAATTGAGTCAGTTCAATAATCATGTCAGATTACAATGTCTCCCACATCCACATACAACCATAAATAGATCTCAAATTTCAGCTTGTCTCATGGAAGTAAATGTTATGATTGGAGATAATTAAAATACCATTTCCAGTCATTGAATGGGCTTGATCTCCTGAGCTTGATATGAAGATTCCCTAAACAGAGTAACACAAGTAGGCAGTTGAAAAGATCCAAACTTGAGAGGTAGAGAACAAGAGAGAGAGACACGATACATAGGTAAGAAAATAATCATGAAAAGGAAATGCAGCTAACCTGCTGCCGTGCTCGCTGAAGCTCCTGCTCTAGTTGGGTCAACTTTAAACGACTACTCTCCAGCTGTTGAACATATGCCTGCATATCGATAAGGTCAGGAATAAACGTTAGAATTAGTGATGTACACATTATCATTTGTTATTGTAAACTAACCAAGTAATAGAAATTACGATAGTACTTATTTGATAAAGTCAGGAGGAAATGTTAGAGACCGGTTTTCATTGAAGAATCTAGAAGTACGAACTTTCGCCGCCACCATTTGAAAAACGACTGAGTAAACCAGCCTTGAAGAATCATAAATGGAGTCGAAATGATGAAGGGTCACAAGGTCCAGAAATAAGAGAAACGAAGAAGCAGAAAATAGCTCTCAGATGTCCCAAATGCCAATATTAAGTTGTTACAGATGTAATCAGGACATCTGATCAAATAAATGTTTCCTCAAAGGTGTCAATTTGGCCAAAAACACTAGACAAGAATCACAGGAAGAATCAAGTCTTAAATTTAATGACGAGTAAGAGGAAGCTCAAAGCTGTGTACTTAGAATGGGTGAAGAGTGAGGTATTTATCTTGAATAGTACAAAAGATGAAGCTCATGGAGGCGAAAGATGAATTTTGTGATGTTAAAGATGCCAGAGTTCAGAAGCTCAGGGGTCATTTCCCCACAAAACAGAACTGAACTCTTGGACGTTACTGAGATCCAGGATATTGCTAGAAATTGGCGGTATGGGAAATGCTGTGACAATTTGACTGAAAGGGACTAACAGTACAAAGATTCTAAAATCTGCACTTGGCCTTTTAACATGATAACTATGCTTTAAATTTTCATTTAAAAGCGATTAAAGAATAACATGGTTGTGGTACTAACATGGAAAGCTTCTAAACACCAAGCGGCAGCCCCATTGGCAAGGGCTTGGGGCCCATTAGTCATACCGACTTAGAGGTCTCATGTTCGAACCTTCAGATGAGCTTAATACCAAAAATCATTGATACCCCCGAGTCCGAACATTGGGGCAAGAGTGTGCCCCAGGCATAAATGAGCAAAGCTCCGACTCTCGATTAATATTGAAAGCTTCTAAGCCAACAAAATATTAACCCCATTAACATAAATAAAAAAGATTAAGATCAGGTGTTTTCCTTTGTTTTTTTTCATGAAAATCCAAGCTTTCATTGAAAAAAATGAAAAAATACAAAGGGGCGTACAAAACAATCAGCCCACAAAAAGGTGCATTCCTTTGTTTTAGATTTCATAAGACATATGATCTTATGAAGTTATTTTAGTCCCTTCAATCTAATGAGTTGCCTTCCTACATTCAAATTTTACTTCACTCTCCTACTGATGAACAAAATTATAGCCATGGCACCAACATAACATGATTGAAATAAAAACGGAAGGAAAAATATAGAGCAATACCTTTTTCCTAAGTCGGCTTTTTCTGGCAGCTTCACGATTCTGTGCAAGCCTCCGAAGAGTCTGAAAAAGACAATAATCCATTTTTGTCACACAAAATCATCACAGCCAAGTAGATAAATCTTGGAGATCAATTACATTACTAATATACGAGTACAACCTTCTGATCAGACTTATCTTTTGTTCTATCACTGGAATCAGAGGCCATAACAGCATTACGCTGACCCATATCAAGCTGTAAATGAGGGAGAAAATAATATATTAGTGCATAAATGCAGGATCAGCCCTTTTCCCAGAAACTAAAGATGAAGTTAATATAACAAAAACAGTGCATAAACGATCAATCCTGCCAATCAGTAATAAACTGAATTGTGTAAACGACAAAGAAGTATGAGATAGCACATTATTTGAGTATGAAAGACATATTACCCTCTGGTTTTTGTCATCTGTGTCGACATCTGTAGAGATATCAGTCCTTGGACTGACATCAGTCATGGCATATACTTTGAGGTTCTCTGCAATACTGCAAGACATGGAAACCAAGGACATCACTGAATCGGAAATGGTGTGGCAGTATGACTGAAAAGGACAACACAGTACATGGATTCTAAAATTTCCACTTGATCTTTTATCACAGTGGCTATGCTTTGAGTTGCCATTTAAACTATAGTAATCATATATAACTCACCTTATTAAAGGTACCAGTATAGAAGGTTACAAGCAACTGTTTGGCCTCTTATTTATAGGGATTTAAAACACAGTTTCTGCATCAAGAATTCAACTTATTACCACCCAAAAAGATAAGACATACAGAATTAAATGTGCGCACGTGTTTTTCTCTTTGCAGAGTTTCCACCCTGATTCCATTTAGCCAACATAAAATAAGATCGTCTTTTTTTTCTTAGAAAAGCTACAATTTCACTGAATTATATGAAATAAACAAGGTCAAAAGGACCAAAGGAGTGGTTGGAAAAACACCAATTGGTCTGTATAACAGAAAGATAGTAGTCACAAAAGAGATTAGATCTAATGCACCAAGAAGAAGCTAAAAACAGAACACTAGAACAGTCATACTAATTAGTAGTTGTAGTTAGAGGTGGGTTGGAAATGTAATCCAGCCTTCCTTTTTCTTTTATGGTGAGAATAGCAAATTGCGGCCTCTGCAGGAAGTTGATGCAGAAATAAGGAGAAAATAATGTCGCAAGGACTGGATCCCTCTTAGAGAAATTAATAACTCTCGTTCATTTTCGAATGCAGCAAGTCAATAAGCAGACCATGGATCAGAAAATAATTTATTTTGTGTTCTTAGTATAAAAAGCGACAATATAAGTAGCCTGAAAGTGAAAGGTTAACATGACTTGGAGCAGCAATGTGCAGATATAAGGGGAGGAACTTACAGTTGGTCACAAATGGATATCTCTGGAGTGAAACTCGGAATCCCGCTCGCCACTTTCTTCTCATTTCTTCCCCAGTCGCCTGTTCCACTCCCCCTACAACCATCATCAAGAAAAGTCTAAGACACTAAAATCAAAAGAACTCCAAAAGCCTAGCCAATCAGCTATAAGAAGATACTCGAAGGAGATTCAGAAATAACCATAACAACCGATGATGCCGTGAAGAGAAGATATAATTGAGTATCAGCCATGAAGAGGAAGTTGATACAAATGGAATATGTTAAAAAACACTCCTTAGCTACAGAATCACCCGGATGTTAGCCACAACCTTTTGGGTCATGGAACTCAACACCAGTCCAAAAGAACCAAAGAGATCAAATTCAGAGAGAGATCCTAATCAACTGGAAATCAAATCGAACTGGTAAACAAAGTATACCTCGTTTACCATCTACCCAAAAACGCCATGAAATCGAATTTACCGAAATGATGCAGAATACTCCCAAAAACTACAACATCCCCAGTAAGTCAAACATCGGTAAACAGTCAAAAAAAACACAAAGCTCAGCACAAACTAACAATACCCAGATGTCAATATCCCCCAAAACGAGTCAAACCAGCATATCACGACTTGGCAGCACGTATTTGACCCAAACGAGCGAGACCCAGATGGCCAAATTAGGAGAATTTGAGAAAAACTGGAAGGCCCCCCGGCCCCCTTTCCCCAATCACAAACTGGGGATAAAAATCAAGGACAGCCGCAGTAGATTTATGGGCATAGTAGCGTTTGCTTACTGTTTTTGAGGTCTGTAAAGTCTGAGGCGAAGCAAAGTAAAGGCTGTGGAAGGTTTGATGACGAAGATGGTTGGTGGCGTGAGGTGGCGCTCGTGTATTACTGGATTTCAGAGTGTGCGAAAGGTGAGGGGGGAGAGGGACGTTTCGGTTGTGTGCCACTGCCAATCTCAAGAAGACGCTCTTTTGCGTGGAAATCTTCCACTTCCCAATGACCAATTATTACTTTTTTATTGAAAAAAGAATGTGGGTGTGGGTTCTGAATTCTGATGAAAGTCAGTGGGCTTGAGATGGATAATTTTGGGTGTGTTTTCTTGGCAGCAATGGCGGGTAGCTGTGTCAGATATCTAAATTTAGCCATGGGGAAGGGGAAGGGGAAGGGGAAGGGATTCAATTTGAAAACACGTACACCATTGCCAGTCGCTTTACAGTTTGTCTGACCAGTATCGTGACTACTGACTACTCACTTGGGAAACACCCAAAAATTTGTTCTTCTTTTTGGGGTATTGTTATAGAATAGCCTAACTATATCATTTAGTAATTATTGTTTGGGGTATTGTTTCGTTTTATTTCAGTACGACGTACATTTAAATTCACGATTTTTTTTATCTGATGATTTAATGTGAGTTTTGTTCAAGTTGATCGTATTGTTTCAATTTAGTATTTACTGTTGAAAAGATATTGATTTAGTTCGGTATACTTTTACATATTTAAATTATATTTATAAATTTACTTGAACTGACATAAATTTAGAAGATAAATTAAGTTATCGAAGGAGTAAAATTTTATCATTTCTCCTCCAAATTTTCAAGAAATTGGTAGAAATTTTTATGGTTCGTCTCTTGACCCTAATTCATCATCATATGAATTTTTGTCAATCCACTAACTATCATGTCATATATAAGTGCATAGTCCATCAATAGAAAAAGAGCTGGATATGTTTTATTGGGTGTCTTTCTCTTTCGAAATTAATTGAAATAACATTACTTCTCACTCCACTTCATTTGTTGGGTTTGATCTCTAACCTCATGAATGAATAAGAAAAAATAGATAAACATAAATTCTACTTCTTCTATTAAGACAATCTCCGACTTATATTTGCCTAATGTTCATTCATTATACAAATGAATAATTCGTAATATGTCATACTTTTATAATTCATAGTTTAGTATGTAATCTTGGTCGAAAGATTGTTTAGCAGTAAAGACATCTAACGCCTTATTTGAAGTTGAAGGTTCAATTTTTGAAACTCCATATTTATCATAGAAATGGAATAATACATTTTTATACCTCAATTTTGAGTTTAGTTTTCAATTTGGTCCTTAAATTTCAAAATGTCACACCCTTTACCCAAGTTTTTATTTTGCTTTCATTTGATCCCTAGATTTCAAAATCTTAACACCTTTACCCTTCGATTTTTAGTTTTGTTTCCATTTGGTCCCTAAATTTCAAATTTCAAAAAATACACTTTTACCCGTATTTTCCACTATGGCTCATTTTTTGTCCAGATAGTAACGGAGGTAGGTGTCTTAACCACTTGAGTTATGATTTTGGCTAAGTGTAACATTTTGAAACCTATGAACTAAATGTTTTATATATATATATATATATATATATATATATATATATATATATGTCTGTAATTACATTTCTTAAACTCAATTTTCACTGAAAATTAACAAAATTCAAATTATCATTTGTTTATCAAATTGCTAATTACTCTCTCCACAATCTTTCTACATTTTCTCTCCCCGTATCTGTATTGTCCCATTCAACTAAACATAACTCTTACATATTTTTCATAAATTATTAAGTAAATATTAATGATTTTAAATCGCTCCAAATAGATTTGAAAACATTTTTAAAACACTACTGAGTTTTTGGGCTGGATGACCCTTTTTGCATGACTCGATTGAAATCTGTCCACCTTTTTCAAATATAAGTTTCATATACTTTTACCGATGACACTGTCTATGCCAAATTACTTCGTTTGCCTCTCCACTTACTTGTGTTATATGAAAAAGGTCATCCAGCCCTAAAAACCCCAAGAAATAAATAAATGTTATTTAAATTAGAATGGAATAAGCATACATGTAGACTCTTTAAATAACCTAATTACATTTTTTTTTAGAAAATAAATTACTTAAATGTTAGTAATTTACAGATTTGTCAAAATAGAGAAGTCGAACCCATATTAAAGTTACTAAACTACATACTCATGTATTTCTAATAAATAAATAAAATCTTAAACCCCAATACTCTAGAGATCATTTTTATTTTTTAATAAAGAAATAGAACTCTAGCCTCTAGGCTATAAATCCTAAACCCGAAAACTTCTCTTTTTAATAAATAAATAAAATTCTAAATCTTAAACCTTAAACTTGAACCCTAACTCTTAAATCCTAAAAAAAAAAATATTTTTTAAAATATAAATAATTAATGTAATAGGATAGAATGAGATTTATGGAGTACAATTTCAAAAAAAAATACTTGTAAATCTTAATTTATAAATATTTAAAAAATTGCATTTGTAAAAATATGACGTGGATAAGACATTAAAAAGAGAAGGCTCCAAAAGTAGAAGAAAAGTCCAATTATGGAAATGAGCCCCGTACTAGTAGAATGCCGGTCAGGACATAATTAGCCCACTATCTAATTTCGCAAGTATAATATAATTGAGATCAAATATTATATAAATAATTATAAATATATATAAAAAAGAAGTATACGGAACATCAACTTTTTTTTTTTTTAATATAATAAGTTGGGTGGAGATTCGAACTCATAACTTTTTGGTCAAAAATATTATTAATTACTATTGAGCTAAATTCATGTTGGCCTATGAAACGTCAATTAGTGATACTATAATATAATGAATATCTAATGACGATTATTGTCAACTTCAGCTTAATTCAATACCACAATGGATTAATATGTAATGACGATTATTATCCAGACAACTTCTCTTCCTCGGAGCACACCTCCGAGAACTCTACCAACATGGCACGATTTTGATACTAGAGTTAAGGACAACGGTAACCCAAGTATCTCCATAATGATATGATATTGTCCGCTTTAGACATAATCCTCACGGCTTTGCTTTTGGTTTCGACCTCATATCAATGGAGATAATTGTCCTCATCTATATATTCATGATCATCTCCTTCTCTAGCTAATGTGAAACTAAGTATAATATTTGGAGGTGATTATTCAAACTCACAAAAAGATGATACAATGAATATGTAGATAAATATATTAGTTAAGAAAAGTTATTGAGTGACGATATATATTTACGTGTAGATAGATAAAAATAGGATGACGGGATGAAAGTGCTTGTGTTTCAAGTGCATATAAATGATTTTCAACACATTTATAAATAAAGTCTGGCAATGTAATTTGTAAACTCGAAGAAAAATTAAAACACAATACATGTATTTGGATCCTTTGACTGAGATATAGATTCTTAGGTAAAATATATTTGGATCCTGAAGTTTTGATTTAGTGTCTATTTGATCTCCTAAAGTTTTGAAGAAAGATAATTTGATAGCTCAATGTACAGTCATCCAATATATATTATAAGATTAATATATTATGTCATATCACTGTCGCATCATTTTTCTATTAGATCAACTAACCGTAAATTACATCAGATAATTGAACTATTTTGCAAATTTCATAGACTAAAATGTCTGTTGGAACCAAAAATGTATTTTACCTTAGATTTTTCCGGGATGATGGTACCAAATATCTCCCTAATAACTTGGAATTCAAGATGTGATTGATCTATCTGCCTAATTAATTGAATACTGTCTCAAAGGGGTGTCTCTATTTATGGGTTGGATAAGGAGTGTTTCCCTTCTAAGATTGACCAATTTTTGGTGAACTTTGAGAGTTAGGAATAGTTGATTTTGATTGATGCTGAAAGTTGGTTCAATTCCTTCAGGCTTGTGGCACAACAATACAGTAGAACAGAGACTTTAGATAGTTTTTGTTTACTTCACGACACTTAAAATTTCTATTTTGTTGATAGTATAAGTTTATAAAACCTTCCATTCCTGAATATAATTAACTTATTTAATATGACGCTTACTAAGATTGAATGTTCAATCGCCCATTCATGTATTCAATTTAATTTATTGAAAAAAAAAACTACATCAAATGTGATATTGAAGGGAGGATTGTTAGAATCCACATAAATGAATTAAATTTATCAAATCCATCGGCTTAAGATTTTGGATTGAGCGATGATTTCTTCCTTCTTAAGAATGATGACTGAACGATGAACAAAAAATAAGAACTGTTTTTCAAACTTTAATCTACATTAAACTTGAATCTCAGAGAAAAAAAAAATGAGAGGTCAAGTGTGCCTTAAAAAATAATTTCAATTTTGCAAATATGCATTCAAACAATTTTACATTGAAAGTTTATAATTTACGATAAAATTAATGTAATTAACAACAACAAAAGCTAAATTTTATTAATATTAAAATCCATTAAGGAAAAGAAAATGTGTCAATTCAATTTTGGTACTTTCGTTTTTTTTTTTTACTTAAACGTTTAATTAAATAAATTTGCGATTGATTTAACTACGCTTAAGTTGACTGTTAAAATTTTTTATTATTCTAATGAGGTAACTAAATGAAATATAAAACTAAATTACGTAATTAACTTCATTTTTTATATGAACCACGTTAATAATTCTCCCTTAAATTATTGGTCATGACATGACCCCTTTTTCTTAACTTGAAAGCGAATTTGTTAGTTTCTTGTATCCTTCCTTTTGGCAAAAAATTAAAAAATAAATAAAAAATAAAAAAGATTTCGTGTCCTTTTTGCCCCGTTATTAGGTGATATTGTTATTTTAATTTAAAATAATATTGTAAGAGATGAAGAAGCAAAGTCGGTGATATTTGCAAAGAATTTTTAGATGGGATCATTTACTTCCGCAATATAAGACAAATTAATTAATTAAATCCACCAGCTTTTGAACTTTGT